TTCATCCATGCTATAGTCGCCCGCGTGGCGCAGTGGTTAGAGTGTCTGCTCTAGAGTCGCGAAGTAAGGACTTGATCCTTACGTCACGGGTTCGAATCCCACTGTGGGACGTGGAGACCGGTCCTTCGGATGAGACCGTATAAACCGAGGTCCCGTGTCGCAGTAGGTGCTGGCACGAATAAGATCCCTCACTGCTCAATGGCCGTAAGTGCCGAGTATAGGACAAAATTTGCAGCTCTCCACCGGCAAGTGGTGGCGTCTCCATATGAGTGAAAAATTCTCGAGAGGGACGTTAAACAATATACAATCAATCAATCCATGCTATAAAACGTAACTTTCCCCAAATGAACACAGCGCACACTAATATATACATGTATACATATAACCACTGACGCATGACAAATGTGTTTCCTAACCCGTCATAGGTATTTTGGCGTATTTTCTTCTGTTTGTACGCTTTTAATTACATTGTAAGTGATTACAGAAAATTAGACAGGAGAAATTATCATTTACAAAGTGATTGAAATACTGTCCGTTCTATTATACACATATACTTAATTTTTCCGATTTATTAATTTTAAACTAGGTGCAATAACTGGTCCCGGGAAAACTACCGAGATACGGGAAGTTAGGGCGAGTTACGTTCGTTCGTAAGATGTCGGTATTTCTCTATTATACGTTTTCATTTTCATCCTAGATACCAACGTTATTCTATGAAAACCTTAGTTTGCGTAACTCCTCTTACATTTTACGCAGCAGAATCATCTTTTTGAATGTGAATTAATGGGTTATGTCTTTTAGGAGTACAATACTGGTTTCAAAATGTTCATTTACACTCTTGGAGCCAAATAAGTTTATAAAACGTTTTTCTACCAAACCCTTATTCCTCAAACTACTCTTACATTTTACGCATTAGCCAATTCATTTTGTGGAATATGAAAGGTGATATCCTGTTGTACAAAAATGTATCAGAATTTTCATTTTTGTCCCCTGTTTCAGACAAAGCGCAGGGACATTAAATCCCATTCGTCTCTCACTCCGTCCTTTCATCATAAAAACATTAACATTGGTCCTAACTTTTGACTGAACGGGAAAAGCTAAGGCTTTTATATTTCACATGTGTATTACCTCTGACAAGAAAAATCTTTCAGAGTATTCTTTTTGTACATCATATGATCTCTAAGTCTGACTCACTTTTCAATCATTTTAACATCGGTAATAACTTTGCAATTGAGGAGACAAGACTTTTATATTTTCACATGTGCATTGGACCTTTATTTCTCAAATTCTGCATCATATTAGAGCTCTTACATTAAATTTTGATTCCATACGAAAATTATTAAGTGATTAACTTTTGATTGGTAGGAGCCATGGCTTTCATATTTCACATGTGTATTCCTTGTGACACGACCTTTCTTTGGGTACCACCATATTTGACCTTGACCTTGGAGTTTGACCCAGTTTTGCAAAATTTTACCAAACTTTAACCTTGGCCATAACTTTTGAACAATTGTGCTAGGGCTTTCATACTTTACATGTGAAGTCCTTGTGACAAGACCTTCCTTTGGATATCAACAACTTTGACCTTTTGACCTTGACCTAGGAGTTTGACCTACTTTTGAAAAACTTTAACCTTGGCCATAACTTTTGAACAATTAGTGCTAGGGCTTTCATACTTTACATGTGTAATCCCTGTGACAAGACCTTTCTTTGGATACCAACAACTTTGACCCTTTGACCTTGACTTTTGACTTCTTTTGGAAAACTTTAACCTTGGCCATAACTTTTGAATGGTTGGTGCTTCAGCTTTCATACTTCACATATGTAATTCTTGTGACAAAACCTTTCTTTGGATACAAACAGCTTTGACCTTGAACTTGGAGTTTGACCTACTTTTGGAAAACTTTAACCTTGGTCATAACTTTTGAATGGTTGGTGCTAGGGCTTTCATACTTCACATATGTAATCCTTGTCACAAGACCTTTCTTTGGATACCAACAACTTTGACCTTGGCGTCTTTGACCTTGGAGTTTGACCTACTTTTGGAAAACTTTAACCTTGGTCATAACTTTTGAACGATTGGTGCTACGGCTTTCATATTTCACCTGTGTATTTCTTGGGAGAAGGCCTTTCCTTAGGCACATTAATTTTGACCATTTGACCTTGACCTTGATGTTTGACATACTTTTGAAAAAACTTTAACCTTTTCCATATTTATTCATTGGTTGCTGCTAGGGCTTTCATATTTCACAGGTTTATTCCTCGATACAAGACCTTACTTTGGGTACCAACATATTTGATTTGCATTTGAGAAAGTTTAACCTTTGCTATAAGTTGCCATACGGGGGCATCAGTGTTTCACAAACACATCTTATTTTTATGTCCCCGTATAGAAGATTTGGGGGTATATAATTTTTGCCCTCTCTGTCCGTCTGTCTGTCTGTTTGTTTATCTGTTTGTCCGCAAAAACTTTAACATTGCCCATAACTTTTGATTGGTTGGAGCTATGGCTTTCATATTTCACATGTGTATTCCTTGTGACAACACCTTTCTTTGGGTACCACCATATTTGACCTTTTGACCTTGACCTTGGAGTTTGACCCAGTTTTGCAAAATTTTATCCAACTTTAACCTTGGCCCTAACTTTTAAACAATTGGTGCTTCAGCTTTCATACTTTACATATGTAATCCTTGTGACAAGACCTTCCTTTGGATACCAACAACTTTGACCCTCTGACCTTGGAGTTTGACCTACTTTTGAAAATCTTTAACCTTGGCCCTAACTTTTGAACCGTTGGTGCTAGGCCTTTCATACTTCACACATCTAATCCTTGTGACAAGACCTTCCTTTGGATACCAACAACTTTGACCCTTTGACCTTGACCTTGGAGTTTGACCTACTTTTGAAAAACTTTAACCTTGGCCATAACTTTTGAACCATTGGTGCTAAGGCTTTCATACTTCACATAAGTAATCCTTGTGACAAGACCTTTCTTTTTTATACCAACAATTGTAATCCATTGACCTTGACCTTGGACTTTGACCTACTTTTGAAAAACTTAAACCTTGGTCATAACTTTTGAACGATTTGTGCTTCAGTTTTCATATTTCACCTGTATATTTCTTGTGAGAAGGCCTTTCCGTAGGCACCATTAATTTTGACCATTTGACCTTGACCTTGATGTTTGACTTACTTTTGGAAAACTTTAACTTTTTCTATATCTATTCAATGGTTGCTTACTTTTGAAAAACTTTAACTTTTTCTATATCTATTCAATGGTTGCTGCTAGGGCTTTCATATTTCACAGGTATATTCCTCGAGACAAGACCTTACTTTGGGTACCAACATATTTGATTTGCATTTGAGAAAGTTTAACATTTGCTATTATAAGTTGCCATACGGGAGCATCAGTGTTACACAAACACATCTTGTTTAAAGAAGGAAATGATCAATTTCTCTCTTTCGAAGTATTACAGTACTGTTAAGTTTGGATTCCTATTTTTCTCATGCAGGCTGCACACAGAATTATTTTATGCAGTGAAATGTTTTATGCTGGTCCTGAAATACTTATTAAATTAACTGTCAACCCAGGTTATACAGTATAACTTTGGTTTAGCTATTAAATTCATTCCTTAAAGGGGCCTGGACACAGTTGCATTGTTTACATTTTAAATTTCTATGTTTATTCAAAATAAATGGATTAAACTTACATGAATATTCTTAGAAATCAATGACAATGACATTCTTCTTTACATCACATCAAACATATCTGTTTTTGTAAACAGGGCAAGAGCTCTGTTATTGTTAATGTTTACGTTTTACCGGGTGTGTTCATTTTGTTAACTCTGTTTAGCTCTGCACACGTCACGGAGTAAGTTTTGCTTTCTCACATTTCTAGTCTGAATTTTCTGGATTATAGTTTTAATATTCTTCATTAACACAAAACAAAATTTCTACTTTTCTTAAGTATTAAGGAAAAAGTTTACTTCTTGTGAAAGTGGAAGCATATGTCAATCTAACGCGTCCCGAAATTCGTAGTTTTTATAATTTCCTGATAAAAGAAGTTTCTGAATACGCTTTTATATTTCCCTGTGAAATGCTCTAGCAATAAATAAATCACGATATTATATAGAAAATATTAACTTCATATCTGTGTATAGGCCCCTTTAAGTATGCAAAAGTTAAATTATTTCCATTTGCACTTACTAAAATGAATGAATGAATGAATTTGAATGTTATTTATCATTGATTACAACAACAATATGAAGTATTTGACAGAAGTAATTTGATTTAAATCAGAATATATGTTTTTAATGATCAAAGATATTTGATTACATCCTTCAAAGTGAGCAATCGATATATTTTTAAGAGATATTTGTAAATATCATTGTATTAAATTAAAGATAACCATTTATATATATATACACTTTATGTTAGACAATATGTGGGAAAGCCTATTCCCATAGAATGGCGAGATTATTTTATTGACTATTATGGGAGAAATATGAGGATTTATATATTATCGTTATCTCCCTTTGGTAATAAATTAATGTGTAAAATACAAACGATGATAACCAAGCATTATCTTCGTGTAAAATAATGAACATTCATATTATAATTATTGTTGTTTTATGATATTTACAGGGCTGTACATAATTATGCACTCCATTATGCAATAAATGTTTTAAGAACCCTGACAGGAGTTGTGTATCATTCCATATATATACCCCTGTTGTGACACCACGTTTGTAGGGATAACACTAAGCAATTTTCTTTGGAATTTCACTCAACATGTCAAAGAAGTTTCAAAATTTCCAAAAACATAGGTCATAATAAAAAAAATATCCCCTTAAACTTACTATAATTGTGACAATGGAATTTATACAGCCCTCCGTAGCATAACATTTCCAATATTTGTTAAAATATTAAATAAGTCTACGCTTCTTTCAACTTTATGACCCTGGCCTTGTAGGCCTAATTGAACACTCATTAAAACACATTGAACAATGCAACACATTTTTATTGAATTTCTTAAACATAATAAACAAATACAAAGTGTCAACAAAACAAGTCATACAATTCTTACCAAGACGTCAGTTAATCCACAAAAACAATATACAAACATGCTGCGTTTTACGAAGAAAGTTATGATTTAATGGCCTTAGTACTTTTCGGGACTGGAGCCTCAATACACAAAACGCCGTCGGAGGACAGCGAGGAGGTCATTTTCCCGGGGTCCACGCTTTCTGGAAGAACATAGGACCTGGTAAACTCCCTGTATACTTTTTTCCCGGGTCCTGATTCCTCGTGTTTTGCGTGGACTGTCAACTTGTTCTTGTCCATCGTTTTCACAGTAATCTCCTCCGGTTTGAAGTCTCTGCAGTCAAATTTCAGGTGTAGTCTTTTGTTTCCAGCTTTATCTTCTACGATAGGATTTTCTAGTTCTAACAGATTTTTCCCAAAATGTTGTAGGTCAAACGGGTCGAAGTCAAACTCCCAAGGGTCCAACTTGAACAATTCCTTCTGGAACTCTTCAAAAACCCTATTAACCTCACTCGGGATGAGCGCTGTTTGATTAAAGGTCACAGGTATCAGCGACATCAGTTTATCCCTAGGCACCAGCGACATGATTAATATTTGATTTAGAAACTTCTCAAGAACGGGAAATACGTACCCAGAGTTTAAAAATTATTCCTGCTTTATACCCGCATGCGTAAATACTAGAAAACACCGGAAGATCTAGAAAGACAAAAATCCAGAATCAACGCGAAAATTCGAGATGTATAGGGCATATTCTAAAAGATGGATATGTGTTTTTTCAACAGAGAGAACGGCCTGCGATTTGTGCGGCAAAATAATGTAGGCCTTTCAACTAATTTTTCAAGTTGTACATATGGTATTTAAAACAAATTTGATAGATAGATTTACAGTTACGCGAAATTCTCAAAAAAGATTATAACATATACATACCTTTATTGAAACCGTTTTAAAATTTAATTATTAATAGTTGATTTGCACGATGTTGTGTTTTAAGGACAGGTAACTCATGATCAAGTGTGAAAAACGACCAACAAAGTGCCGATTTATGAGTTATCGTATATAAGAATGACATATAGGCTGCTTCAGTTGGTATTGTTATGTACACAAAAGGCCGGTTCCTTACATTGTTTTGTACACAAAAGGGTTGGCCAGTACAAGGAGAATGTGTTCACTCTACCTGGAATAACGCGGGGATTAAATGAATGGGGAACGGACTATATTCAAGATTTTCAACTCTCTCTGGCAGTTGTTACGAGGAAGAAAATATAATGTCATGTTTTTTTTGTGTGTGTTAATTATCTTACTCGTTTAACTAAGCACGAAGAAGAACGACCAAGTATGAAAATTTAATCAGGTTAAAATTAAGAAGGGGGGTAGATTTCACTTTATATTTAAAAAATTCACTCATATATTATTTCACAGTGTCCGTAACTATATTGTAAATAATTTACAAAATTATATTAAATTTTAAAACCACTGGATTCTGCTGACAGGCTGACAGCAAAGAAACACTTGGGAAATACTGAAAATTGGCCTGTTAAAAAACAATTACTACCTAGGACCTGCTGTAAACAAGTTCTGGTAATGAGTTATCGTTCTTTACATCTATTCCTAGCGGCAGTTGAAAGGCCTAAATAATGCTGTCGATGCCATCTTTAAAAAAAGTTTGCTTCAAAAACACTTGCGAACATGAAATTAAAATAGTTATTAATGCGATTAGAAAATTTCCGAATGAATAAAAAAATAAATAAAATAATAGTCTCCTGGAGGTTAAAAAAAGTTTTGAGTCGGGCCGTTTTTGGTAAGTCGGTCGGGAGAGGGCAAACAAACATTTTTTAAAGATGGCCTGATAATACAAAATGTATGATTATTTAAAGAATGGGGCGTACAAGGCGAGGATAATTCCTTGCTCTGAGACACTCTATTTCTCAATTTTCAAAGTTGAAAAGTTTTTTTTTTTCTTCAAAAATTATGTTGTCAGATATGTCATCTTTAACACAAATTATACCTTATTGAATAACTTATTCATTGATAATTTGATTTTTATATTTACTGTAAAAGCCTATTTAGTTTAAACTTTATTCCATTTGAATAAGTCAACATATATATATATATATATATATATATATATATATATATATATATATATATATATATATATATATATATTAAAAATTGTTTGTATACACATAGGATTCGGAAACAAGTTGTTACAATTTATATTAATCCATTTCTGAATTATAAATGTACAATTGCCCTTGTTGCATGCATGGCAAATATGATAAATGAAATAGTAAAGAAAAATAACAGTAAAAATACAACAGTAAATGAACAAATATTTGAAAGATATATTAATATAATATGTTATAACCTAAATCGATAAACCACATATTAACAATTTCAATATACACACACATTAACATACCGTTCTTAAAATAGAATAAACAATGAGTCTTATATACACATAACTTATAATATACAATAAAAGCCTATAACGAAAATGGGTTAAATAGAGCCATGATTTTTGGATATGAATGAGTTAAGTCTCCATTCTATATAATGAGTTTAAATGACGGGGAAAATGAATGTAAAATCTATTTTATGTTTCAAAAAAAAAAAAAAATGGAATGTGAACCCATTCTATTTGAAAATCGGACATTTCTGAAAAAAGACTGTCTAGAGTAGTGTTTATGTTTTAATTTTACCGCAAGCTTTGGAAAGAGTTCGAATCACGTATGAGGCTCTATTTTTCTGTTCACATACCTTAAAAACTGAAAAATAAATTATTATCAATAAATAATTCAATAGAATAAAGGAATTAAATATGTAAAAGATGATACTGAGAACACAATTTTTGAAAAATAACTTTTTTATGAACTTTTATAATTGAAAAAATGTTCAGACGGGGGGTTGTCCTCGCCTTGAATGCCTCTATTCTTCAAAATGGTGATAATTCACGGAAGCCGATAGGCGCCAAGTCAGAAAAAAATAACTGGCGACTGCCAAATATATTTTTATATGGCGATCACCAGATATTAATTGGCGGCTTCCAGATATCCCTAATTATTTTGAGGTTGCTTGTATTTAAATTAAGGATGTCAAAATATTTATTTTCCTTAGTCGATCATTCGATTGCATTATTCGAACGATAGTCGAATATTCGGAACATTTTCTGAAAATAAAATTTTATTTCATACTTCATTGGTACATACTCAGAAACCTTTTTAATTAAATCTATTTAAAAAGTAACATCAAAATTAATGCAACGTAGCGCGTGGATAGCATGATTCTATGAAATAAATTTAGAAACCTAATTCTCCAAAATTTATTATTTCCCCGTAAATAGAATTCATAAATCGGCCTGTACATGCAGGCATTTTTTATTAAGTAAGCATTAAAAAATTGCCAGCCGATATTTTTTAAAGTTTATTATGAAATAAAATGGAGGGGGGCTATCAAAATGTCCTCAAACAGTTTAAAATGTAAGCACATTGTTTTATTAATTATCGATGCATCAAAACAGGTTTATTCCTTGCATTTGAGCAAACTTAAAATAACAAAAGATAATTGGTACATGGTATAAGATCAAGTCCAATTAATAATTTTACAAACAAAACCCATTATATTGGTTGGTAATTTATTACAAAAACAACACCGGCAGTTACTGACAATTAATTTTCGAAGTAGTGAAGCACTTATAATTGCTGTACTTTCTATACGTACATGGAAAATCTACCGTTGTTTTGTTGAGGAAAATTATCGACTATGAGAAAAAACTGTTTCTCATTTTTTTGATGAGAATTCCATCTCATCTATCACACATTTATTGCATTTATTTAGTTAAAATAATATTCGAATGTCGTTTCATTATTCGATCGTCGGTCCATTCGACTGATAGTCGAATAGTCGACTATTCGTTGACATCCCTAATTTAAATGTATGTGGCGGCCGGAGTGGGGTAAATGTCAAAACTGTCATGTTTATTTACTGCGCAGACCAGTATAATGGATCTGCGCAGTATATATAAATGAATACATATCTATATATAACAATTAACCAGTCTTCAAATAAACTGCGACATTCTGCCACAATATCTGATTTTTGCGTCATAGATCTATCGCGTGTTTCAAAATCTTAAACCCTTTGAGGGGGTTATGCGGTTGCTCATAATGACAGTGAAAAATGCACAAAACGCAGAAAATATGTGCACATAGCGGTTTATTGCATTCATATAAACTTCATATGTTTGACGTCAATATAGTTTTACAGAATATAATTATTACTATGTAAAATTTATTGGTTTTTCAACAAGTTGCACATGTTCAAGACTGTAATTGTCAAAGTAAAAAAAAAAAAGTAAGGAAAAAAAAAAGAACTGAATAGTACTAAAATTTACGCATTTTTCTTACCCAAAATTGGATAATGTAAATAAATCCCTGTCATATAAAAAATTTAAGTCATTCTTTAAAATTTGAAGGTCAGTTTTCACAGGAACCATTGCTGTTTTGCTGTATAACAATGCATTATAAGATACATCTGCAGAATCGACCAACGAGAAAATATCCACAATAAGCAAGCTTTTATACTGCACGAAGACACTAGAAATCTAGAAATACTGCGAAATAATGCAAGATTATGAGGCACATTGTAAAATTTGGATGGGACTTTCAAACGAGTTAATAGCTGCAGATCTGTAGCTCGCTGGTCTGAAAAAAAATTGGGATGGACGACCAGAGAGCTACAGTGCCACCCATTGAAAAAAGCGTATAATTATTGCGCACAAAAAAGTGCGCTGTTCCTTGATTTTTTTTGTTTACCGTATATTTCAAAGTGTTTCTATCATATTCTTTTACTACTTCTACAACAAAACTGCATGTAAAAGTCATGCACGAAGCGCATTGGACTGAATTATCTTGCTACCTAATATGAGAGTATAATAGGCGAAATTTTCGATGGTCGCAATTTCAAGCCCAGGAGTGCTATAAACAACGGTTTGGGGAAATATCTTGTTGTGGAAGTAGTAAAAGAATATGCGAGGAACACGCGGTTTGTAAAATTTTGAGATGGCAGCATAAATAAACGGAGAAATATGCGCAATAAATATACACTTTTTTAATGGGTGCCACTGTAGCTCTCTGATAGTCCATCCCAAATTTTTCAGACCAGGGAGCGACAGATCTGCAGCGAACGTGTTAATTGATCGTGTGCGCGATAGACAATATATATATATATATATATATATATATATATATATATATATATATATATATATATATATATATATATATATATATATATACAGAGAGAGAGAGAGAGAGAGAGAGAGAGAGATACATTTGTATGTTTAATGGTAAATATATTAATGGTAAATATTTTCTTTGGACTTAAAACAGTACATGTAGTTTAAACAATGTACACAAACAAACAATTTACCGAAATGGAGCTTACACAGGTCCACAGGAGGCAATAATTTTATTTCAGTTGAAAGGGGGGGGGGTGCACACACAAACATAAATTCCTTGAAAAGCCCCCCCCCCCCCCCTGTGGCCTTCAACTCGACATTTAGATATATCGACGACGTATTGTCAATTAACAATAGCTATTTCCATTCTTATGTCGATACGATATATCCCGGTGAGCTTGAGATAAAAGATACCACAGAGTCTGAAACATCTGTTTCATATTTGGATATTTTACTTGAAAAAGACGTTAAT